CTCAGCAAATTTTTATTGAATATGTCAATGCTGTTGTAATGAAATGCTTCTTCTAAATATGTGGTAAATAAATACTTTAAAAAAAGAGAAAAAAAACAAAAACAAAAACAAAAAAACCCCAAAAAGTCAAACCAGATACTTTTATACACAAAAGGATACAAGAATGAATACATACTTGCATTTAAATGTTACTGAAACTGAATTTTACCTGTAGAGGAAGGGAATGATGGCTGGGCAGAGGTGGGAGGAGCAGTAGTGACAGCAAGGTCTTCAAACTGAACTGTTATGCATATTGCGGAACCATGACAAGGTAGTACATGCTCCAACAATAAGTTTAAGCAATCATTTAAAATATACAAGTCTTCTTAAAATGTTCACTACAATTCCATCAATGGCAACCTTGCTTTGTACGTCAAAGAAGTCCAATTCATAAAACATAACAGAAATCCTATCTCTTTTAATACTGGAATGAAAATAGTCTTAATAAATAAATCCTGTTTCGAATTCTTAGAAAGCACTATCAGTCTGGTAAGAAAAAGCATGCTTTCTGAGGGGGAGAAAACTTATTATTCCCAAGTTGAAATTCTTCATGTGAGATTTGTATTTTTATGTGCTCCAAAGGACTCTAGAAACTAATATTAGTTAAAACATGTAAGCCAAAATACTCAGGCAAAAAAAGAACTTCTATCATTCCAAACATTTTAGAGAGATGATTATTCTTACATTTTAAAAATTTATTATTTTCACTTTTTATGTGTATGAGTGTATTGTCTGCATGTAGGTAGGTACACCCGTGTTGTGCAATGCCCGTGGAGGACAGAAGAGGGTGTTGGGTCCTCTGGAACTGGATACTAATGGTTGTTAGTCACCATGTGGGTGTTGGGAATCGAATCCAGGTGCTTTGCAAGAGTAGCCAGTGCTCTTAACTGCTGAACATCTCTCCAGTCCCTCTCTTATATTTTAAAGACAAGATGCCATGTCCATTTCTATGAATATAATACCAAACATTCATAAGGTAATTTTTTAACTTAATAAACACATTCCTAGTGGCTAGTGTCAAACAATGCTGTAAGTCATCACTGGTATTACCTTATTTATTCCTCTTCACAACTTTATGAGTTAGGCACCAATTTACAGATAGGGAAACAGAGGCACAGTGAGGCTAGGTGACTTGCTCCAAGCTGCACAGCTAGTGAGTGTAAGCCCAAACTCAAACACACAAGTGGAGAAAAAGTATTTTATACCCATGAACAAAGTGTAACCGAATACTATTTCCAGGAGCCCGTTCTCTTCGTTTAGAAGTAGAACTTTTCTGTTTCTCTTTGCATTGCTCTTTAAGCTGAGGTAGATCTTCTTTGTAAACCTTTTAAAAACATACATAAGTAGGGATATTATTAGGCTCTATATTAATGAAGATGTTCATACATTCAATAAAACTTTCAGGTATCAATAAGAGAATAATTCATAAAATTTAGTATTCCAGGAAATCTTTGAAAATATTTCAAAGAGAGTAAGTGGTCATCTACTGTGCGTGACAAAAATTGATAGGCAAAAAGAATTCATGCATACGGCATTATAGAGCATTTAATATAAAAGAGTATTTTATGCAAGTGTACTATAATGTCCAGAGGAGAAACCGAAACAGTCATACATTAATTAGGAAATTAAAGTCATAAAATTAACAACAGACAAAGAGCATCATCCAGTTAAAGAAGAAAGTGGACTTTTGGGGAAAGATGTCATATGTATGCTAATAGGAAAACTACCTGTCGATGGTAGGTAAGCTGTGTCTCTTGTTCAATTTCAGAATCCAGCTCTGGAACGTCCGAGAGTTCTGAATCAGATTCATCACTGTTAGACTCAGCCAGACTTTCTGTAATTAAAAAAAAAAAGGAATATCCTTAATTTAAAGAAGATTTATCTTCAAGACAGCTATGTAAAATTAATGATTGAGAGCTGACTGTGTCAGCTCGACATGGAAACAAGCCATAAAACAATCAAATGAAATTACCTATTCAAGTGACACAGATGTCAGTAAACTGCACTACAGATTATCTTCCTCTCCACTCACTGCAAACTCAATAGCTCCTTTAAATCCCTTCACTGGCTCCCCAATCACCGCTACATCAAATTTAAATGTCTGTGCAGATATAAGTGAATATAACCTATAATTAACATGAAAAATAGCTAAAATACTACATGCAACAGATGAATTGACATTAATTTTTCTTTGTTAAAAAAGCATATGCAAAACCTAGGTACCCATATTTCCCAGAGGACACATTAAATGTTTGTTTTGCTAGAATAACTATTACTTCACCCATTTGATAAATTAAATTCAACAAGATTACTCATCTGGCACTCTGTGACATCTGACTTTAAACATATATACCTATATTTACTTCAAATTCCTGCTAGTAATGACAAACTTCAATGGTAGACTGTTATTTTGAAGTTGAGGATGGAGAAGTTGTTCACAGTGGTATGTACTACTTACCTTGGGGTGCTATATGAAGAGCATCCTTTAATTTTCTTTCAGGAATAAATTTCCACTGAAAGACAGAGTGATCTGCTCCACCAATAGAAATAACCCACTGATAATCATGTGACCATCTGACATTAGTTACGTGAGCTGAATGGCCAATATATTTTCTAAACTTGGCCCCTATAACAAAAATATGTCTTTCAATTGATAAACAAAAGCCAATACACAGAAATACCACTTTAAATAGCAACTGCTGTACTTAAACTATTACATCATCCTACATTATATTAAATATGACCAGATGGAAAAATGATCACTAAAAATTTAATCAGAGCTGGGTGGGTGTGGTGGTATACACCCTTAATCGAAACACTTGTGGGGCAGAGGCAGTTAGATCAAGGTCAGCTGGTCTCCATAGTGAGTTCCATGCCAGCTAGGGCTACAAGAAGATACTGTCTCAAAAAAAAAAAAAAGCCAAATAAACAAACAGAGGGATGCAAATATTTCTTTTACTAATTTTACAATATATTTTGGTAGGAACTACAAAAACTGTGAGATAGCTAGGTGTGCTGATACCCACCCAGCTACTAGGGAGGATAAGCTAGGAGAATCACAAGTAGTATCTAAAACAACACTGTTTGTAAAAGGGCTGGGGGTAGTTCAGTGGCATGGTATTTGCCTAATATATAAAAGTCCCTGGTTTCAATCTCCACTAACACAAAAATAAAACAAACGAATAAAACACCTCCACACTTTGTTTCATAAATATTATTCATCTAGAAACAAAATAAAACAAACCAGAACAAAACCTGGTAAGGCATTATCTTATTGCTCTGAGAAAAGTCTGGGAATCAATCTTAAAAGTAATGGATTTATCAGCCTGGGGCCATAACCTTTCAAATTAAATAGATATTTCTATAGTTAATTGGACAGTTTAGGTTGGATCATTTAAAAGCAGCCACTTAAGAATTCACACACCATCACATAAATGTAGCAGCTTACTTACAAAATTTTTTCACTGCTCTCACTCAGGCAAGTTAAGCTAACAAATCCTGGCTTGTTTTAATTAGTTACATAAGATTTGAACAGACACATACATATTCTTACAGTGAGACAGTGCTTTATAGAATATTGACATCTGTATACTAAAAGGCTTTGATATGGCTATCCAAGATGGCTCATCGATGTGTAAATCATATATGGTTAGAGGTGTTGGCAACTGATGACCTGTTGACATAAATGAGTGAACAAAATTTGATGATATAAATTTGTGACTTGCATGTTTTTTCTTTACTCTGACTCATTCCTTACTGAGCTCAAGCTTTACAGTATTTGGATTACTGGTTCAGCAAAACCCAGGAAAATAACTTTGTAGCATCAAAATGTTATCTATCTGTATACTGTTTACTTTGTTGTAAATAAAGGCGAACAGTGGTGAATAAACAATTTTGTATTTAAAACAAAACTCTCCTGGCACTGGAGAGATAGCGGTTAGGAGCACTGGCTGCTTTTGCGGAGGACCCAGATTCAATTCCCAGCATCCACCCAGGAGCTAACAATTGTCCATTAACTCTAGTTCCAGGGGATCCAATGTCCCCTTCTGACTTCCTCAGGCACTGCACGATATGGGTGTGCCTACCGACATGCAGGCAATACACACATACACATAAAAGTAATAAATAAAAATATTTTTTTAAAAACTCTCCATTGATCCATGCTGGGAAAGATTTCTTAATATACAAAACAGCACTACCCACTACAAAATAGGTAAGAGGCTGGAGAGATGGCTCAGCAGTTAAGAGCATTGGCTGTTCTTCCAGAGGACCCAGGTTTGGTTCTCAACACCCACAGGTGGCTAACAACCCTCTATAACTCTAGTTCCAAGAGATCCAGTGCCCTCTTCTCGCCTCCACAGGCATTGCATGTCATGGGTACACCTACATATCTGCAGGCAAAACACTCACACATAAAAATAAAAATGTTTAAAAGTAGATAAGGATTCAAGAGATGGCTCAGTAGATAAAGTGCTTGCCACACAAGTGTGAAGACCTGAGTCCGAATCGCCAGAACACACATAAAGTTGCATGTGTAGTGTGTGCCTGTAATCCCAGTGCTCCTACAGCAAGATGGGAGGCAGAGATGGGAGAATCCCTGGAAGCTCCTGGGCCAAGTTGGCCTGGTGTACACAGCGGTGATTACAAAGAAACCCTGTCTTAAACAAGGTGGAAGGTGAGGATCAACACCCAAGTTTGTCCTCTCTCCTCCACACATGAACTATGGCACATGTCTGCATGTACACACACATGAACATACATGAATTACACGCAGCAAAAAAAATAGTAGATTTGGATGATTAGAAATCAAAAAGTAGTTAATGAAAGCCTTATTAAGAAAATAAAAAGAGGGGCTAGAGAGGTGGCTCTATGATTAAGAGCATTGGATGCCCTTGCAGAGGACCTGGGTTTGGTTCCAAGCACCCACATGGCAGCAAACAGCCATCTGTAACTCCAGCTCCAGGGGATTCAACACTCTCTTCAGACCTCCGTGGGTATTGCATAACATGGGTGTACTTGCATATATGCAGCTGATAATTCACACTCATAAAATAAAAACAAGTAGACTTGCCTCTGCTTCCCTGGGCCTGCTCGACCCGCCAGCCACTCTCTGGGCAAGTCGATCGTCCCTCTGTGCCTTGACTCCTCCAGCCTCATTCACCCTTCCATCTCCCCTGCCCATCTCTCCTCCTAGCCTGGGTCCTGTCATACTCCTTGTTTTGGTACCCCAGACACCTGGGGAACCACCACTGCTTCCTGATCCTTTGCATCCAGACCAACCCAGTTCCTTCCCCTGGTCCCCAGGAGCCCTCTGGACCTGGTCTTGTCCTCACCTCCCTCTGCTTCCCTGGGCTGCACAACCCACCAGCCTCTTTCCTGGGCGCCAGGGCTGACCCTTCCACTTCCTGATCCTTTGCATCCAGACCAACCCAGTTCCTCAGTGCAGTCCCCAGGAGCCCTTGGGGCCTCTTCCTGCCCCCATCTCCCTTTGCATCTCTGAGTGTCACAGCCACCAGCTCCCCTAGACCAGCATCTTTCCTGGACCCTGCTCCCAGGCCAGTCCAACCTCCAAATTCCTGAGGCCAAAATTTTCCTGGAGGGATCCAGACATTAGAAGAAAGCATGAGAGCATCTGATCCTCATCTGACTTGGGCCTCTGTGGGAACTCCTAAAGACAAAAGCAATCTGGCCACTCCAATATAAAATCAAAAGAGAGAACAAGAAGCTTAGATGACCCAGCTTTTCATGCCCAAAAAGTAAACCACAAAGGCACATAAAGTTTACAAAAAGAAGCAGACTTAAACTTGAACTCTTGAGTCACACACAAGAATCAGAAACTACAAAAGAAATTCATATGTCAAAAACACAAGAAAAAATAATTACATGAAAAACTATAATGACTTGTCCCCACCAAATACCAACAGTCCTCTAGAGGAGTACAATGAGAACCCCCTAGAGATAATGCAGGACATGTAACTCAAAAGAACAATTATAAAAATGATAAAAGAATTCAGTGAATTTAAAGAACACACAAAGAAATCAAAGAACTGAAGAAAGAAAGGGATGGACTTCTGAATGAATTCAGAAAAGAGCTAGAAATACTGAAGACTACTCAGACTGAAATGAAGGAAGTGAAACAATCAGTAAGCCAATTACAAATGACAAGAGAAAGCTTCACCAACAGGATGAATGAAATGGAAAACAGAATATCAAGACTGGAAGATAAAGTGGACAAACTAGACCACTCAAACAAAGATTATGAAAAATTTAAGAAATCACAAGAATGGAATATGCAGGAATTCTGTGATACCATAAAAAGACCAAACTTACCAAATCATAGGCATATAGGAAGCAGAAGAATCCCAAGATAATGGCATGGACCAGATCTTCAACAGAATCATGGAAGAAAATTTACCAAAATTAAAGAAAGACATGCCCATACAAATACAAGAAGCATATAGAACACCAAACAGGACTAGAAAGGAAACTCTCCACGGCACATCACAGTAAAAACACTAAACGTACAAAACAAAGAGACAATACTGAAAGCT